GTCGGGCTCTTTATGGGGCCACGAAGCGCTGTACTGGGTGGGGGTGACGCATGCGGGCGGTGCAACTGCTGCCTTCGGTGGAGCTCCCTTTGGGGCCACGAAACGCCGTACAGGGTGGGGGGAGACGCACGCGAGCGGTGCCGCTGGGGTCTTCGGTGGGGCTCCCTATGGTGCCACGGAGCGCTGCACTGGGTGGGTGTGGCGGATGCGGGCGGTGCCGCTGGGGCCTTCGGTGGAGCTCCCTATGGGGCTACGAAGCGCTGTACTGGGTGGGGACGACGCATGCGGACGGCTTGGGGCTTAGGTGGAGCTCCCTATGGGGCCACGAAGCGTGTGAGGGGTGTGCTGAAACGGATGGTGACGATGATGATGGAGGGGGAATGATGGAAAGAAGGACGGAAGGAAGGAAGGAAGGAAGGAAGGAACGCGGGGACCGCCTCTTCAAAACGATGACCCAACACCACAGGATGGTTGGGACAAATCATGGCAACGGGGTTCTGGGTCAGAAGGCTGGGAAGTCCCCAAGACTTCTGAGAAGTGTTCGAAGCCACCCCCGGAGACACAACAAGCCTTTCCGAAGGCGCGAGGGCTTCCGAGAGTCCCGCCGCCTTCTGAAGAGGCCTTCTCCTTCTCATTTCCCCCTCTCGCTCGCCGCCAAGCCTTGGCCTCAGAGGGGGGGGGGCGTGCTACCAGGGCGGGGCGGGGAGGTCCTTGGCTGGAGGGACGGGCATGTTGGCCTGCAATCTTGGGGTTGGTACACCCAAGAAGGTCGTTCCTTTCGAACACCCCGCCCGAAACCCTGCCTGCGCACGCTGGAAAATGCAAGCACTGGAATCTGCCCACGGTCTTGAATGAGAGCCCCCTTTTGTGAGGAGCTCAGCTGCTAGATCAAAGACTCTCTGGAGCCCAGGGGCTCCCAAGAGCATCTTGGGGCTTTCTTGGGGCCGTCGTCGATCGGCAGTCTTGGAGGCCTTTTGGATCCCTTTTGGGCCATATCAGGGCGACGGCAACCGGTGGGCCTGCGCGTCAAGCACGCTCATCACTCCTGTGTATGCAGAGGGCGGCAGATTCGGCTGGATTGGCTTGCTTCGTCGGCTAAGGCTTCGATCGAGGAGGCCCAAGGAAGTGGCAGGCAGGCCGAATCGCAACAGTAGTATTCCTGCCGGTTACCTGAAGTAGAACTCGCCAGATACATGATTGAGAGTCGTGGTGCTTGCTCCTCTGTTGCTGTCGCTTTCCCAGCAACTCGCCCCGAGCGCGGGCGGTTTGGGCTTCTCCCCAGACATCTGACGACACGACACAGGCGCGGCTTTGGCGCATTCGACTCCGTGTGGGGGGCGCTTCGGGCCCCACACTGGGCCAGTGCGGTGGGTTCGGGGAGACTTCACACTGATTGTTGTGTCGGCCTGGCCTCCGCCTCGTCTGCTTGCACAGCTGCCCCTCTACCAGAGGAAAGAAACACGATGATCACGACCAACATGCCGCCCGATATTGTCGACGTCGATCTTGGTCACAGTCCACGCTGGCCGTCGCCGATTCGCGAGGATGATCAACAAAAACGATGACTAAGATGGACGATGACCAAGGTGGACGCCGACGTTTTCGCGTTGAGTCTTTATCATGGTCATAGTCCATGCCGGCCGTCGCCAATGCGCGAGGAATATCCACGATTTGACGATGACGAAGATGGACCATGACCGACGTTTTCCGCGTGCAGTTTTGGTCATGGTCATAGTCCTTGCCAGCCGCTACCGATTCGCGAGGATCCACGAATTGACGATGACCAAGATGGAGGTGGAACAATGACGAAGGTCGACACCGAGGTTTCTGCGCTCAGTCCTGGTCTTGCTCATAGTCCGTGCCAGCCGTCGCCGATTCGCGAGCATGATCCAAGACTTGACGATGGCCAGGATGGACCATGGTCAAGGTCGACGCCGACGTTTTCCGCTTGCAGTCTTTTTCATGGTCATAGTCAATGCCGGCCGTCGCCGATTCGCGAGGATGGTCCCAGGATTGACGATGGCCAGGATGGACCATGACCAACGTGTACGCCGACGTTTTCCGCGTTCAGTTTTGGCCATGGTCACGGTCCATGCCGGCCTTCTCGCCGATTCGCGAGGATTGACGACGACCAAGATGGACGCTGAAACGACGACCAAGATGGACGTTTATGCGTTCAGTCTTAGGCCATGGCCCCCGTGTTCTCTCCCCCCGATTCCGCGGACTGCCGCCGCACGGCCCTCACTCGGAGGGAGGAGAAGCGGCACCAGCACCACCGGGAGGGGCTATACCTCCAGCGAGAAGGTCCACGGTGCCTCCCCCGAGCTGGAGGCCTGGGGGTGTCTCGAGCGAGAGAGGGGGGGGCCACGCCACCATGGAGACCCCCCTTGCTCCACGCATCTCCTCGCCCTGGTGGTGCTGGTGTCGCCTTTCATTCCTCCTACTCATGGTCGCCGACCCCCCCCCCCGCCGAAAGGTACCAGGCGCAGGCCGCGGTGGCGCAGGCCGCGGCTGCCCCCCTGGGCGGGAGCGGCGGCAACCCTTCCCTGAAGTCGGGCATGTCCCTCTACAGGAGGAATGTCCAAACATAGTCAAAACATAATCTGGGGACGCTTTCTTTTAGTAGGTATGATACTTTTTTGAATGTTAGCCAGCATGGGCCCCAAATAGTGAGTTCTTACAGTCTATGCGGTGCAGTCCAGGTGGTGCAATCCATGGGGTGCGGTCTGTGCGGTGCAAAGCAATCAACGCAATGGAAAGCAACGCAATGCAACGCAATGCCAAGCACTGCAAGAGAATGCACAGCGAGCCAATGAAATGCAGTGCAACGCAATGCAGTGCGATTGCAGTAGTGCCCAGACGACGGGCGGTGACGGGCGGAGACGAGGTGGCGGGGGACGACGAGATGGCGACGGGGCGGCGACGGCGGCTGCATGGCTGTCAGACCGACACCGCCGCCCGGTTCTTTAGAAGAGGAGTAAGATATTGTCTGTGAAATTTGGGCAATGCGAAGTAACGCAAAGCAGCGAACAATAGCGCAAAGCAATGCCCAGCAGAGCAAGGCAGCGCAAAGCAACGCAACGTAAAGCAATGAGAAGCCATGGCCAGCAATCCAAAGTAATACAATTCAATACAGATCTGTGCAAAGCGATGCCCAGCAATGCCAAGCAATGCAAAGCAATTCAACGCACGCCTTAACAATGCAAATCAATGTAAGTCGATGTAAAGCAGTGCAGTGCAATGCGATTGCAAAGCAGTGCGACTGCAATACAATGGCGCAAACCAATGTGAAGCAACGACAAGCAGTGCACAGCAATGCCGACCGATGCAAATCAGTGCCAAGCGGTGCAAATGAATGCCAAGCAATGCGAAGCAACGAGAAGCGGTGTAAAGCGGGCGGCGACGAGGCGGCGACGGGGCGGCGACGGCGGCCACATGGCGGCCAGAGCAGCCCGCACGCCCAGGCGACGGGCGGCGACGAGCAACCACGAGGCGGCGACGGCAGCGACTTGGCGGCCGGAGCGGCCCGCAAGCCCAGGCGACGGGCGGCGGCGAGGCGGCGACGGCGGCGACGCGGTGGCCACGGCGGCCCGCCAGCCCAGAAGCAAGAGCCGCCGAGTCTGAGCACTTCCTGAGGAGCGAGAAGTCAAGCCGGCGGATGGCTGCACATCGGAACCTCCGAGAGTCGGCGAGGCCTGGAGGGAGCTTTCTGCGAGAGTCCCACAAGGCTCTGGAACGACTTGTTCTCCTGCGATGATGAGCAGACAGCATAAACACATACTTCCAGAGGTCTGCGCGAATGTACAGTACCGGCGCTGACGCCCCCCCCATCCCTGGCGTGCGGAGCGCACCAGGGGCGGCGCTGGAGGCGCCGCCAGGGGAGGTCCAGCGCATATTCAACGAATCCTCGCCGACCTCCCCCAAGCTTCCGTATGTGACCTATCTTCGTCTGAGATTCTTGGGCCTGCCTCAAATTCATCCTTCACCCAAGTGCAGTCAGACAGCTTCAGAAACCCCGTGACCGGAGGAGGAAGAGAAGAATAATGAGCAGCGAGCACATGGGAAGACGCGCCGAGTTCGGGTCCGCAGATTACATGCGCCGTTTGGAGACATAGAAGTAAATTAAAGGAAGCTCAAGTAAAGTACAGTAACATAAACATCAAGCAAGGTAAGGAAGGTAAGATAAAGTAAAGTAAATCGAACTAACGCAAAGCAAATCAAACCACATCGAAGGACATCACATTAAAGTATAGCAAAGCAAAGTAAAGTAGAGCAAAGCAAAGTCAAGTAGAGTAAAGCGAGGCGGCGACGGGCGGCGACGGGCGGCGACGGGCGGCACGGCGACGAAAAGCCGGCACTGGTCCCCAGATGCTTGAGACAAGTAAGAACCTTTCAGTTCAAGCACTGCTTGGGGAAGATGCTTTGATTCTTGGTCGCTTTTCTGCCAAGATCCGCCTGCAGGAGGACATGCCCGACCTAACCCTTCCCGATTCCTCCTCGGCCCCGGCCCCCTCCCTCCGCCGACGCGCCCCCGCCTCCGCCGCCCCTCTCCCTCTGCTCCCGAGGCTCCCCGGGGCTGCCAAGGCGCCTCCCCGGGGCTCTCCCGGGTCTGGGCCAAGGCTTCCAAGGCGGCCCCACGGGGGGCCTTCAAAGATGGTCCAGCCTGGCCTCAATACTGTCGACCCGCATCGTAAGGATGGGCAACCCTCCCAAGGGTGCCCTTGCATCCTTGCCCCTTCGGCCCATCCTCAGCGACTCTCGCTGGCAAGCCTCGTTCGGAAAACGTTCACGTGGCCCTCCAAGGTCCTTGCATCCTCACCGCGCAGCCTCATGATACGGGTTGATTGTAGGCGCTCAGCATGTCTCAAGAACAAGCAGACCCCAGGAGGCGCCAGAGGGGCCCCGAACGACTTTCAAGACACCGGGGAAACTGCCATCCGCAACCGTTTGTGCTCGACCAGTTTTTGTTTTGCAGGTTTCAATGCCTTCGCAGAGCAAGCATGGGTGCCTGCACCAGTTTAGGAGACGCCAAGAAGGATCATTCCAGCTGTGCGCAGATCAGCCAGAGTCGCAGCATTCATGATGCTTACAGCTTCAGGGACACACAAAAGCTTGGCAAGGGTGGCTACGGCACAGTGTATCTTGCGACCCAGCGCTTTTCGGGTAAGAGACGCGCCGTGAAACGCATGAGTAATCAGTACCCTCATCAGTCGAGTTGCAAGTCGGAGGTCGCGATCATGAATTCGATCGACCATCCCAACATCGTCAAACTAGTCGACACCTTCCAGAACAGCACGCACACCTATTTGGTATTAGAATTGTGCAGAGGGGGCGGATTGCTGACGAAGATGAAGGCATATGGTGGGTCGTTTCCAGAGCAGCATGCATCGACTGTGCTCCATCAGATTTTGCGAGGCACGCTCTACCTGCACCAGTGCTCGGTTGCCCATCGGGATCTGAAGCCAGAGAACCTGCTCTTCGCGAGTGATGCCCCCGTGCCCGAAAACACGGTGAAGATCATCGACTTTGGCCTTGCGCGCACATGCCCCGAAGGACGGCTGCTCGTGACGAAGGTGGGGACGCCCACCTTCGTGGCACCCGAGGTGCTGGCAGGCAGGGGCTACGACAAGCAGTGCGACATCTGGAGCATAGGCATCACCGCCCACGTGCTCCTGTTTGGCTATCCCCGACGAAGAGAAACAAGGTCACATAGACACACGCTTTCGGAGCTGCTCGCGGATTTTTCTCAGATCGACGCTGCCTCCCCCGCTGGCGCACTCCGCGCGCCAGGTGGACGAGGGTCTTGCGCCGCTCCGAGGAAAGCCGCGCGGACCTTCGACAGCCTCTGCTGGTGCCGTGTTTCTCTCTCCGGTGTCCGCCGCTCCGGGGCAGCTCCGACAAGAGCGTGATCCGGAAAGTGGCGCGCGGGCACCTCGAGCTCTCCCCGGAGCACTGGGCGCTCGTGTCCTCGAGCGCCGCGGCGCTGGTCTCCGGGCTGCTCTCCGCCGACCCGCGGGAGAGGCCGACGGCGTCGCGGGCCCTCGGCGACGGCTGGCTGCTGCGCGGGGCGGGCGCCGAGCGGGCCGCCATCCCCAGCGGCCTCGTGGAGAACCTGTGCCGGTGCCCGGCGGAAGCCGGGAGGAGGGGCTTCCCTTTCGGGAGGCTCTCCATGGGGGGGGATCCCCTGGGGGGGCAGGAGGGGATCCCCCCCACGGGATCCCCTCCTGCCCCCCCATGGGATCCCCAGGGGATCCTATGGGATCCCCCCCCCCCCCTGGGATCCTATCCCCCCAAGGGATCCCCCCCCCATGAAGAGTCTCCCGACCCTTGGCCCCCCCTCGGCCAGACGTAAGCGTAAGAGTGGACCCTTCGCTGGAGGGACCTCTGGTGTGGGCCCAGCGGGGTCACCCGATCGCCGAGCGCGGTGCGACGGTAGCGCCTTGCGCGCTCGCGCTTGGGCCCCCTGCGGCCCCCCGCGCACCAGAGGCCACTCTGAAGCTTCCCAGGGCCACTCCCTGCGCGGAGCCGAACGCGGGCCTCCCCTGGGCCTGCCCTGGGCCTCCCCTGGGCCCATCCCTGGGCCTGCCCTGGGCCCGTCCTGGGCCCTGAGGCCAACCCCTGGGAGGACGGCCCTTCCCACGCCTACCTGGGCCTCCCTGTAGGCTCTGCCCGTGGCAGGCCCCAGGGCCCACCCGTGGCAGGCCCTGGGGCCTGCCCTCGGGGCCACCCCAGGGCCTTGCAGGCAGGGGGCCTGCTCCGGGGCCCTTGGCGGGCCGCCCCTGGCCCAGGGCCCCCGGGCTTCTGCGCCGCAGGTTCAAGTCGCGGGACGTGCTCTCGAAGGTGGCCCTCCGCGTGCTCGCGGGGCTGCTGGACGACGCCGAGCTCCGCCCCCTCCGCCGCGCGTTCCTCGCGCTGGACGCCGACGGGGACGGCAGGCTGTCGCGGGCCGAGCTCCGGGAGGGCCTGGCGCGGGGCGGCCGGGGGCTCTCGGAGCAGGAGCTCGTGGAGATCCTGGACGGCGTGGACGTCAACGGCAACGGCACCATCGAGTACACGGAGTTCCTGGCCTCGACGGTTGACGTGAACAGCTGTTTGGGGGAGGACATGTGCCAGCATGTCTTCGACGTCTTGGATCGGGACGGCGACGGGCACATCTCTCGCCAGGACCTGATGTGCTGTCTGCGCGATCGCCACTTGTCAGAGGGTATCGGCGCAGAGAGCCAGGCCCTTGTTGACGCACTGGGAGCCCGCGGAGACGTCAGTCTAAACGTCACTGAATTTGCGAAGATGTTGTGCAGATGATCGCGACATTTTCAGGGAAGTAAGTTTAATACACACGCATCCTTGGCTGCCCAAAGTTTCAAACCGCTCTTCAGAGTAATTACTGGAGAGACCATTAAAGAAAGTCTTATATCAGGTCTTACGGGAGACTATACCGGAGACCGTGAAACCACAGGCCACCGATCCGCCAATTCTGCATTCACCGTGACGTACGCCCGACTTTGAATAACGTAAGACCCTTACACACAAGATGTTTAGGGATCGACTGCGTTGCGAATTTGATTGCCCCATGGAGGGCCGAGCGCTCAGCAGCAGTGGGAATATGCATGCGCGTGTGATGGTTTCACGTACGCCTACCACTTATACAGTTGGGAGACACGCTGTTCTGTCAGTTTGGTCGTGTATCTTTCCGCAGCGTGTGTGAGCCTGCGCCTCATCGAGGCAGGCGCGGTGGTTTCGAGGGAAGAAACACGGGGACCATGACTAAGATGTCGCGGGATTTTGTTGACGCCAATCTTGGTCATGGTCCACGCCGGCCGTCGTCTACCCGCGAGGATGATCTACGAATTTGCGCTGTCCAAGATGGACGGTGACCAAGATCGACGCCGACGTTCCGCATTTAATGTTGGTCATGGTCCAGGTTTTTGTTCCCTTCCATGGTTGGTCTGCCTCGCACGCCCCCAGCCGCAGGCATGGTACAGCAGCTGCTAGACTGCGCGCCGACCAGCAGTCTCCTCAATCCTTCTCCGGCCCAGGGGCAGCAGCCCCGTCAGCTTGCGGACGTCCTCGGCACCAGTCCGATGGTCCCGCCAACATCTTGTGACGTCAGGCCAGCCGAGTAGCTCCACCAGCCCCGCCTCCTCGAGCCTCACCCCTTCCTCCGCGTTTCGGCTGCCCTATCGGTATCTTGCCCGCTGCACAGCAGAGCATTTGTTTTTCGTTTTTTTGACGAGCAATCTTGTTCGATCGCCCCTCGTTTGAATCAGAAGGTTGTCAGCCGACGTCGCTGCTAGCAGCGACCGACCGGGAGCATTGCGTGCCTGAGACTGTGCTGTTTTCAGGTGAATCGGTGGCGAGCCCAGGGGGGGAGTCAGAGGCAGGCCTTCTCAGAAGCCCTCTGGACTTCTGAGGAGCCGTCAGCGTCTTCGGGAAATGCTTCCAAAGCTCTTCAGAAGGGTGGAGGCCTGCTGAGCCTTCTGAGAAGGCTCGCCCCACCTCACTTCCCCCCCAGGCCCGCCGCCGAGTTTAGGCACGCCAGAGCGTCGCATCCAAGCGGCTCGCTGGGGAACCAGGAAGCATGGAGAGCAACCGCATAAAAACGGCACCAGGAAGCGAGGCCGGGAGGAATCGGCTAAACCACAGCATCTGCGTTTATCGCGAAGGTCCTGCGGCCAGTGCCGCCGACCCTGAAGGCGGGACCCCCCGCCAGCGCACCCCCTCTCCCGGGGGCCGCCCGCCTTGGTGGGGGGGGGGGGGGCATTCGGACCTGGGGCCACCCTCCCCCCCCACGGGCGGGACCTCCCCCCGGAACCCGGGAACCCCCTCCAGGACCCCCCCCCTCGTCCTCCCTGTCCGCAGGGAGGACCGGGGAGGGGCTGGGGGTCCGCGGGGGGTCCGCGGGGGTCCGCGGGGGCCCCGGGAGGGGGGGGGGCGGCAATCTGACCCCGTACCACCCCCCCCCTCTCCCGCCCCCCCGTCAGGGAAGGGATGAATGGGAGGGAGTGGATTCAACTACCACGTTTCTTTTTTCTGTTCATTCCTGAATTTCCTTGGCTGGCGACGACGACGTTGACGACGACGACGACGTTGACGACGACGACGAAGCGGTTGGCCTCCATGGGTGGTTGCAGTCTGTTGTGAACGGAGGCGATGTTTGCAAATGCCGGCATGGTGAGAAGCCAAAAACGGGGAGGCAAGAGGCTGTCGACCTGGACCCTCCCGACCAAGATCATAAACAAATCGGCGACTTTAAACTCGTCCGAGTTCTGGAATCGGGTCATGTCGGGGCAGATCAGTGTTGAGACTGGCGGGCATGACGCTTCATTGGTCGGGTCGCCGTCGCCGCAGCCGTCGCCGCCGTCATCGCTGTCGCTGCCGTTGCGGTCCGTCGTCGACGTCGCCGGCGCCGTCGCGGCCGTCCGCCGTGCCAGTCCGTCGTCGATAACCCCGTCCGTTTCCGTCGCTGCAGTCCGTCGTCGCCTGATCCGTCCGTCGCTGGTCGCCTTCGGAATCTAAAGGATCAGTCCCCAGACCCCTCCCAGGGGACAGCATGATCATGCCGCACTCCTGCGCCCTGGACCGACTTCTGACGGCCCCGGGGCCCGAGAACGGCCTCCAGGGCCCGCACTCAGAGCCACAGACATCCCCGAAGCTCGACCGCCGCCGCCGCTGTCGCCGTCGCCATCGTCGCCGCCGTCGCTGCCGCCGTCGCCGCCGGTTGCCGCCGTCGCCGTCGCCCTCGCCGCCGACCGCCGCCGTCGCTACCGTCGCCGTCGCCGCCAGTTGCTGCCGCCGCCTTGTTAGCAGCCCGTCGCCAGCGTCGCCGTCGCCCCCAGTTGCCGCGCCGCCGCAGGCTTCACTTCGCAGCCGCCCGCCGCCGCCGGCTTCTGCTTCCGCCGGTCGCAGACGATTGCCTCCGCCGTCGCTGCCATCGATCGAATGCAACTCCTGCTTGGATGGACCGCGCGCTTGGTAAATCTTATGTCGGATGCAAGCGGCTGCTTACATTGTAGTATATCCATCATAACATAGTAGCAACTGCAGCCAACCCTGGCACAACTATGCGATACGCTCGCTAGAGCTAATAAACCTTTCGCACAGTTAATGAAGTAGTTGCGAACCGCCGCCAAACGTTGATTCAAACGCTAATTTGTTACCGACGTTTGCTACGTGTTCTCCCCAATCGGCGTCAAGGTTGTAGCCTAATTGCCAAGCGTGTAGCCAACATGTTAGCTAACCAAAGGCAGAGTACGCTAAGCGGATTAGTAAAGCTGGTTAGTAAGGCCAGCTAAGTGGGTTAGCTAAGCTAGCTGAGCCACGGCGGCAGGGAGGGGGCGTGGGTGCCTCTCGCGCCTACGAGCTAGATTTTGAAATCGAGCCGCCTTCCATCTGTGCACTGCAGGCCTCTTACATTGAAAAGCGAAGCGCCCGATCGGCGCACAGGAGGCCCTCGAAGCACATTTTGTCCCCCGAAGGTCTTTCGATTGAGGGGGGGGAGCTGCATTTCTTCTGCGCGCACAAGCCCCTTCAATGTAACTTCAATGCAACCAGCCTTCATGATGGCTGGTTGCATTGAAGTTACATTGAAAGGGAGGCGACCCATCGGCGCACAGTAGGCCCTTGAAGCCCTTATATGAGCCCACAGGAAGCCCCGTGCGCGGGCCCCTCAACGCTTGAAAAAACATTCCGCCTTCGATCTGCGCAACAGCGCGGCGGCTCGCAGCATTTTTTGGCCCGAAGAGTTCTGCGTGATACACTGCCTTTCTGACCACTCAATGACGGCAGTGGAACTGGCCATCCAGGCAATGTCGGGTTGCCCCAATTTGCGTCCACTAGTTGCCCCCTTTCCTCCCTTGTTCGCCCCTATATCCCCCCTCCCCCCTTCCCGCCCCCAGCGCGCAGATCGGGAACGCGCGTTGGGAGGGGGGAGGAGGTAGAGGGAGAGATGAGCAAATAACGGTGGTGTATGGGGGATGGAAGGGGGGACTAGTGAATGTAAAATTGGGGGTAACCGCGCAGGCAGTTGAAGCAGAGGTGACGTCACATTTGGCTAGGTACGACGAGGATTGTCAGATCGGCAAAGCATTTGAAGCGATATGGGGTTCCTTGAGCAAGCATCAGTGTCTGGTCTGGTCGCAGTCTATGCACCCCGATTTCGTCGGGGTTGTAACTTTCAACAGAGGCGGGTATGGCATTTCGGTTCAGAAGTCGTTCGATCATGCAAAGAAGCACTTGTCTTCAGGCTGGAGCTTGAAGATGGCGAATTTCGGCGCATATGCAGTCCAGGTGAAGCCAACAACAGACTACCATCGTGACACATGCTTGTTCAACATGAAGCTTGCTCACACCACGGGGCTCCCTAAGCAAGAAGGTATCATGATTGCGTCATTCAGTGGCACTCATTCAAACGTGTGGCTGCGCTGTGTGAAGCATGAACTTCCCTGTCAGATCCCTGAGGTTGCGCCGAAAGGGGTCATCGACAAAACCATGCTGTGTTCGAAGCATCCTCAGTTGGAGGAAGCAATTTTTACAGGCCTCACGTGGAACACTGTATCACAATATGTTGTTATGAAATGGCCGTCGCTGCTTGATTTGTTCCAGCGGGCAACGAACGTACGTGGTATTTCAGAGATCAGCGAACTCGAAGGTTTACTCCAGATGAGGTCGTTGTATGAAATAGCCGTTTCAAATTGCATGTCAACGGAGGTTGCGTGGAAGCACGCAGTAGCAGAGTCAGTGAAAACAGAACCGTTCTGGGGGGCATGGGCAGGATCGCTTCAGAAGTTCTGCTCGAAGACGACGCTTGACCAGCTTGCGGAGGCACGGGACATGTTGGCTGCATTGATCAAGGTCCCGCAGTCGGCGCCAGTCTCCCATGGCCACTGCGGCGGGGCCTTCATGGATACGCTCGGGACGTTGCAGTGGCACGGCGTGGTCCAGCCAGCCAGGGTTCGCATGGCGGCATACATCGCGAATTGCCGCAGCCCTCCCGACAAGGTCGTGGATGGCAAGTGCATTCTCTTGAAGGGTGGGGGCTTGTCCAAGCTGGCGGCGAAAGGAAACATTCATCAGGTTTTCGAGGCCGAGGCCATGATGGATCAGGCCCGCGAGATGCTGCAGACACACGGCGTCGGTGCAGCATTCAGGCCAGGCATGCTATGCAGCTTTGACACGTCTCTTATTTACCACATTTTGAAGAAGGGGAAAGTGTCTATCGATCGGAAGGAATACGGATCTCTCGCAGAAGTAGCTGACCCATTTATCCTCAGTCTCAATACCTTAACGCACAGGCCGCCCAACCA